TGGAGAGCTAGGTTCGAGTGACTACAAGTGCCAAAGGTTGCCAAGACAACATTGGTTGCGTCTTCTCACTTGAAGACATTTTTGAAAAATATGACTAAAGCGAACGACATAAATGTAATGGAAGCAAATTTTAAGCCAAAATCATTGTAACTAAGGAAAAAGCTTGACAAAGGGATTAGGGGAGAGGGAGGATAAAATGGGGGACTTCGTTTCAAGGTTTGTGCATGAGAATGTTGAGGAACAAGATGTGGGGTATGGTCAATAATCCGTTTAGCCATAGTGTGAGTTTAGAATGTGCAAGTATTCTGGAATTGACCGTTTTGACATCAAGGGAAAATAAAGTGCATGTGACCGGATTCCATTGTAACAGGCGGTGAAGTTCCACTATTTCTCTATAAATTTCCAATTTTTTTTTAAAAAAACTGACTAATTCGAAACTCCCACGAGGGTTATAGAGCTTTCCACATAAACAATGTGCAAACTACCATGGGACTTTCTTGCAATTGAGGTGAATGTGTTGACCACTTTCTTGTTTATTATCCCGTACCAAGAGAGTCATAGAGCTTTTTTTTTTTTTTTTGTGATTTTTTGAATTGAGAGGGTCATACTTGATTTGTTGAGAGATATGGTACAAAGCTGTTCTTCAGGGGATAGGAGGGGAAGGCTAGAAGAGAGTGGATATGGTGATTTTATTCGTTATATGAGACGTTTGGAGGGAGAAATGTCGGAGGGCTACACTGGTTTATAGTGTTAAAATTATAATGATGTACCTTTTGTATGTATGGAGTAAAGAATCTTGTTCCATCGATGATTTGCTAGAATCTTTGATGATATGAATTTAATTTTATATAATATTTTAGTGTTTTTATGTTCTCTATGTCACTTGCGGGGTTTTGAAAATTAGCCAATAGAAAAATAATGGACCATATTTAAGAGAATTGGAGGCCTTTGATCCCTTTAGAAAGCATTACTATGGCTCTAGAAAAATTTGCATTCGTAACAATTGTAACATTGTGCTCCAATCCCGTCGCAGTTAACACCATTGTAATGGTCTAAAATGGCCGTAATTGAGTCGTTAATGACGACGTAACACTTGTTCGACTATAATTGGCTACGAAGCACATATATTTATTTGGGATACAGGTATTATGACACAAGAGGAATATGTCGATACAATATACCTAAAAAAATTAGATAGGATACGGAAAAGATACGACAATGTTAATTTTTATACTATACAGTGAGTTAAAATTTAATATTGAATATCTATAGGTAATAGTTGGGAATCACTAATATTCATGCAAGCTAACTTCTTTCATATTGTAATAAATAGTATAAGATTTATTAAACAAATCAGGAATCCTAATTCGACCAAAAAATTATGTAAACTTCTCTTTCAGTAGATAACTCATATGAAACATCAAATAAATAACAAACCATCTAAAATATTCAGGTCGATCTCTTGTTTTTGCTTCCTATTTATGCCTCATCTTAAATTTTAAAGTAATAACATGTTATAAGAAGGGCTTGTTTAGTAGCATAAGAAATAGGTCAACCAATTCAAAGTCAAATTTATATTTTTCTTATTTTGTGTATTAAGGACATGTTATTGACGTTCAGTAATAATCCCATATTGTATTAGTCTATTATTCTCAATGTATTCCAAATGTTTCCAAAATAAAAACTTCATTTAAGAAATCTTAGACGTATTCAATTCTGTTATGTCCCTATTGGTTGCGTNATTAAGGACATGTTATTGACGTTCAGTAATAATCCCATATTGTATTAGTCTATTATTCTCAATGCATTCCAAATGTTTCCAAAATAAAAACTTCATTTAAGAAATCTTAGACGTATTCAATTCTGTTATGTCCCTATTGGTTGCGTGTTGTATACGGATATTTTGAACTTAGTGGAGCATTTGTGCTTTATAGGTAACCTGTGTGATTCATGGTCCAAAGTACCGATACTCAATATCCAATTCGGTACCTTCCATTTTGTTACCACTTCAGGTTTCTTAACCATGAGTCTCGCGCAATGCAATCGAGTCATTTGAGACATCCCTGAGTCGTCTGGATTATTGTCATTGAATCGGCCGATACTACGATGGCATGATATGGCTTGAATCTCATGTCATGTGCTACTTTTCTTTCAAGCATTTCGTGTATTATCAGATATTGTTGTGTGACTCCGTATCGTGACCTTGGATCNTGAATTGAGAGGGTCATACTTGATTTGTTGAGAGATATGGTACAAAGCTGTTCTTCAGGGGATAGGAGGGGAAGGCTAGAAGAGAGTGGATATGGTGATTTTATTCGTTATATGAGACGTTTGGAGGGAGAAATGTCGGAGGGCTACACTGGTTTATAGTGTTAAAATTATAATGATGTACCTTTTGTATGTATGGAGTAAAGAATCTTGTTCCATCNTGAATTGAGAGGGTCATACTTGATTTGTTGAGAGATATGGTACAAAGCTGTTCTTCAAGGGATAGGAGGGGAAGGCTAGAAGAGAGTGGATATGGTGATTTTATTCGTTATATGAGGCGTTTGGAGGGAGAAATGTCGGAGGGCTGCACTGGTTTATAGTGTTAAAATTATAATGATGTACCTTTTGTATGTATAGAGTAAAGAATCTTGTTCCATTNTCAGGGTATGATTTGCTTATTGGTCATCCAAAGATGAGAAGAGAGAGAGAGAGAGAGAGAGTATGTACTTGGATTTGTTTCGAGATCCACAAGGACTTGATCATCNGTGACTCCGTATCGTGACCTTGGATCAGGGTATGATTTGCTTATTGGTCATCCAAAGATGAGAAGAGAGAGAGAGAGAGAGTATGTACTTGGATTTGTTTCGAGATCCACAAGGACTTGATCATTGTTGTTTAAGTGTTGAAGAGGATTAGGGCCTATGTTTGATTGACAAGATGTAGATGACCTTTTATTTAAAGGTTTATGCAAGTAGCCCTTGTTATTATTTAGAAAAGGCTTAGGTACTTTAAATTACTTTTAGATGTCCATATCAACATATTTTGTACAAGTACCACATTATTCAATTTTCTTTGACAAATTTACCCTTTGCAATAGCATGAATTTTTCACTTGCTGTTTAGTTGATTGAAATAAGATACCATTAGTTTTACATCTAAAATTTCCTGATAAGTTAACACTAGTCTTGGCTGATTTTTCCGATAATGTTAGTTTGGTCTTCAAAATGTGGCTGTTCAGATTGTAAAATTCATAAAATTAATGTATTTTACCTTTTCAATTTCAACAATAAATTTTACTAAGTGAGGATATTTTTGAGTTTGAGTTATTAAGTCAACTATATTTTTCTACTTACAATTTCAAATAATGTAATTGTAGAAAAGTAGACTCAGATTAGTACTAATAAGAGCAATCATTTTCCATATTTTACTATATTAAAACTATATATGTACTACATTCTTTTAAATTATTTCAAACTCAATTAGTATGAATTTGAATTAAAAACATAGGTATTGTTATAATTAGGTAGTTGAGAACTTTCCAGTTTGTTACATTGATGTATGTCCATCACACCTAACTTTTGTATACTGCGACTCCGTTATTATTACCGTTGTTGAAAACCATGGTCACGTGTTGCCTTCCATTTTGGAACCTTTAGCAAAACTACTTTTGCCTATAAAAACATAACGACACCTTTTTATGACAAGCAGAAGGAAGGTTAGTTTGAATAATGCTTCCCATCTAACAAAGTTTGCGAGCTCTGGTTCCATTGCTCGTGTTACTGCTTTATTTCTCTTTTGGAAGCATGCCTGTCCTTTTATTCTTAAAAGTCAAAGCAGTTCTTCAGTGGAGTGTTCGTCTGTGTAAGGTAGTCCATACAATGTTGCTGGTGGCTAGGTGTTATTGCTTGTCTGTAGATTTCTTGGTGATTCTTGATTCCTCTCGAGCAAGTAGGTTTGTCATATATGATCACATTTATTCTTCTCTGAGAAGTTTTTACAAGAATTTTATCAATTATTTGTGCTATTTATAATATTTTTCTGTTGTTCTCTATCTCAGCTTTTTCAAATAAAAAGTATATTTTTCTTTCTTCTCTTTTCCTTCTTTTGTAACCGGTGATATTAGAACTAAGAATTTGTTATTAGTTGAGTGAACACATTTGGGTTTTTTTTAGCNTTTGTGCTATTTATAATATTTTTCTGTTGTTCTCTATCTCAGCTTTTTCAAATAAAAGTATATTTTTCTTTCTTCTCATTTCCTTCTTTTGTAACCGGTGATATTAGAACTAAGAATTTGTTATTAGTTGAGTGAATCACATCTCCAATAAGTAGATGTTCTTATTATTTTTTGTATTTGTTATATCAAGTTTGTTTGTGTGAAACTTGTTAATCATTCTTGAAACCATTGATGAATATCTTTGCTTGAAAAATCCCGCCATAATCTTTAGTAAATTCTTTATTAGAAGTTAATACAACTGTTTTCAGTAGTGTTCCCTGAATTGCTACGGACGCTGGTTGATTTTGCTGTTGTACAGTCCATGAAGCCTGAAATATAATATAGGAAGAAAGTTATTAAAATTGGAAAAAAAAATCTGAAAGAGTAAAGTATGGTCACTTAATTGAAATTTCAAAGGCTCATTGTCATTATTATTTATAATTTATTTCTTATAACAAAACAAATTGAAATTTTAAAGGTTACTTCAACTTTGTTTTTGTTCGGTAAATTTACTTCATTGACTTTGTAAAATCTTCTCTTTCCTGCATCAAAATGATGGTCTACAATCTCAGAACCATGGTCATCCTTCCCAAGCATCGAATGTGTTACATGATGAACAGACTTGCATGTGTTAAGGTTGGGTTTCATTGTATTTTATTTGATCATCTTAGTAAATTACTGTGTGTAATGTTAACTGACTTACAGGTTTCTTTCCAAATACAGTTGTAGCACCTTATCTGATGAACTCTTGTGTGGTTTCATCATTAATCATTTTAACTCATCTTTCTCTTATTTCAGGTGCAAAATCTTATTGAACGATGTCTTCAGCTTTACATGAGCCAAAAGGAAGTTGTGAACACACTCTTAAAACAGGCAAAAATAGAGCCTGGTTTTACTGAACTTGGTAATGCTCCTTTGTTCTCCCGTATCTTCCATTATCAGTGGGAGCACTGTACATATGCTAAGTAACTATAATTTAGTTATCTACTCTTTGTTGTTCTATGTAGCCCACTAATGCATGAATTGTCCTATTTGTTTGTTAACGCTATATTATTGCTTGCCTGTCAGTTGAACTTTTACCATAGTAAATGGGAGCTTTTGTTTTCTTTTTTCATTTGAACGGAGATGTATACTGGCATAGGAGACAGGACGTTCCTCAATTTGGTGATATAATGTGGTAGCTATTTCCAACCTTGACCAGGGTTACTAGAATTCACTTACCACCATACAACTCCCGATCTGGGTCTCGTGACTCTAAACTGGGTAGTTCGTGATCCGGATTGCCAAAAAATATAACCTGAAATTGAAACCCTAACCCAAACAAAGACCCTAATTCTGATTGAAAATTGTAATTCCCAATCAAAATCCGAACCACAAATTGTTCCAAAAGTATAGACAATCGCACATAACCGGTTGAAGAAGGGGGGAGAAGGAAAATTTTCAGAAATAAGCAAATATAATTACATACCAGGGGAAATCGAGGGAAGCTGAAGTCAAATACCGGGATTGATTGAATGGAGTGCTTTGTACCCAGCAAACAGTGGTTCTTTCTTCCCCCAATGATAATTGTCTCTCTCCCCCAATTAACAATGGTCTCTCTCGATTTCAAATCGATTAGCATGCTTGTGAAGATTTTAACTCAGGCTTTGAATCTTGTATCATATTTGGTCAAGTGTGAAGGTCTGTCTCTTTTTCGATTGTGAAACGAGCGAATTTTATTTAGAAAAACAAGNTTTCAAATCGATTAGCATGCTTGTGAAGATTTTAACTCAGGCTTTGAATCTTGTATCCTATTTGGTCAAGTGTGTAGGTCTGTCTCTTTTTCGATTGTGAAACGAGCGAATTTTATTTAGAAAAACAACAGTGAATGTTCTTCGTGCCTTTCTTATGCATGACTTGTTTTGGTGAAGTAAATTCTGCATACTTCTTGTGCCTATTGACTAGAGTGTATGTTCTCACCGGTGAAAATATAAAAATTGCCCCATTATCAATTACTAGATGAGGGCCATTGTGCATTTGACAAAATAGTCAATAACATCCCCCAAGTTTGATTGATTATATATGTAGGCCTTTATAATTAAAATCAAGTGTTTTAAAAGCAACTCCCAGAACTTTATTCCTACTGCTCCTCATCAATCTGTCCTCTGGTTACTTCCTTCAGAGTGTAATATTTTGCTTGTCTTCCAGTTTGGCAGAAGCTTGAAGAAGAAAATCAGGAGTTTTTCAAGGCATATCATCTGAGATTGTTGGTGAAAGATCAAATAGTGAAATTTAACACATTGCTTGAGAGACAGGTTGAGCTGATGCACCAGATATGCCCTGCTGCAGTTACTTCTTTACCTATGTCTAATGGATCTCATATTTCACAAAGTAAGACAGTTCTCTGATTGGACATTTTTAACTTTTGTGACCTACCTTTGCTTTGTTTGCACTGTAGGCAATTGCCATTATGTGTGCTTTCTTTGCCATTTGGGATTGGTGTATGTATAGATAAGTCTCTTGACAGTGGTCCATGTAGGAATTTTTTTTGTTGTATTTAACAGCTATAGATCTTACCAATGATGAATCTTGTTGTAGGCTGCCAGCTTATTGGGAATTTTCGCAATGGGAATCTAGCATAGTTTTGGTTGTCACTAGTCAGTAATGTAATCCAAAAATATTAATGGTTGCTGTTGCTTGTCCCCTGAGTTAGAATTTCATCCTAGAACTTAGTATCAGTTTCTCATCATGTTTAGATTTGTGGAACTTTTAAGGATCAGATATAAAGTATAAACTGACACCTGAACCATTAAGGAAATTAGAATGAATTATGCTTTCTCTTTGTGATAATTAGACTAGCATGAAGATAAATTTATGAAAAGCCACTGAAGTGGTTTACTAAAAATATTTGTTCCAGGGAGCCAAATATTCCAGGTCAGATTTTGCCAAAAGTGTATTCCGTAATGATCACTGTATTTTCATTTCAATCCTCTTAACAGGATTTGAAAGGAGTTGCATACTTTGTCCTGCAATTCTTACTGGGGCAGGTTTCTTTTTATGAATCTTTCTGTCTTACAAGATACATAATCTGTTCTCGCGTAACAAAGTTCTTCATGATTGCTTGCCACTAGTTTCATTACAGAAGCAATTCTAGAGGTTTGTGCATTGGAGAGGACAATTCTAGTGGCCATCACAATTCATTTTCCCTAATAGGTATTACTGAGAGTTTGGGCAGACTTCTAATTTGAGAAACTTAAAGGATCAAGACTAAAGAATGTAGAAACATCCTAGGGACATAATACAAATGTTTACTAGGTTGAAGCCTGTCGATACAGAGATTGAATGAGTTACATGTTTCCTGGGAAAGGCGAACAATTAACCCCAATGGATTTTCATCATCACAAATGATTCCTTACTACTGATCAGCAATACAAACAAGGTTTCTCTATTCTAATTTATCTAGAGTAATATCTTTATTTTTTTTTAAAAAAAAATTAGTTAGTCCNGCAATACAAACAAGGTTTCTCTATTCTAATTTATCTAGAGTAATATCTTTATTTTTTAAAAAAAAAAATTAGTTAGTCTTTAAGTTGGTGCAATGGAACATAGCCTTACAGATTTCCTTATTGTATAGAGCTCTAGCTAGCATTAATCTGTTTGATAGATGATAAGGAATCTTAATGTGAAGATATGGCTCATTGATAGAATATGGCTCTGTTCCTGCTTACCAGCATATTGAACTTTGCAAGTCTGAACCTTTCAACTTTTATTTTTAGTCGTCATGATAAATATTTGAGTAATTTTGTTAATAATCTGTGCTTCACTTTAGTATCCACCTGCTCTAAATTCCAAAGTCGGATTGGTCTAACTCCTACTAATTATATTAGTGGTGTTTGCTGCAGTGCACCAGAACACAGCATGCTATGTCACAGACCAAACTGGACCTGCTCTAAAGACAGATAACATGCAACAGCCTATAGGTACCACTTTACCAAATGCATTCCCCAATGGTGGGTCATCACTTCACCAACGCCTGCAAACAGCTGTTGATACCTCTGCTCATGCCAGAAGGATTGATGTACCACCAAACGTACTGTTGGCTCAGGGTTCAAATGTGGGAATGATACCAGGAATGAATGGGGGGATGATCAAATCCGAAGTTGGATATGTCGGAAATTCTCAGTACTTGTTTGGTGCTGATGGCAGTGTCTTGGAAACACGTCCTGCTATTGGGGATGCTTTTTATTCATCTTTCAGCAGCATAGAGTCTAATTCGCAACCACTGAATGGAACAATCCTGGATGCCAATGTCTCTTCAATTGGACTTTTAGGACAGATACCTCGAAACTTCAGTCTATCAGACTTGGCAGCTGACTTTTCTAATAGTTCGGGTTCTCTTTCTATCTCTGTGTGTGTGTGTGTGTGCTGAATTCTGATGGATCAACTACATTGTCAGCAAGTTAGTTTGACTCATTTAGAAATTTTTTAGGCCAAGATGCAAGAGCTTTATCCTACTTCACACATTTACATGACCTGAAGCCCTTTTTTTATTTCACCTCAGATATATTGGAGAGCTACTCCAGGTCACCCTTCCTGGTAGCAGGTACAGACAATTACTTCGATCCAAGTGATAGGGGAGACCACCAAGGTAAGATTCTTTCCATTTGACCTTGTTCTCTATTCAGGAGGGTAACTGATTATTGTGCCCTGGCCCGTCAGGAGACGGTAAGAGGTTGGACACTATATCAGAAGGCTTCAGTTATGAAGATTTTGGCAGTGATTGATTGAATAATCTAAATGGTATATCTTTCAGTTCACACTGATTAAATATTAAGTTTTGTATGGGTGCAGTTTCTAAGCGCAATGAATAAACTAAAAGAAGTCACCTTCGTAAAATATTAAGGATTCAGTGAAAGCATATTCTCCATTTATCTGTATGCTTTAGTTAGGGTGTACTTATTGGTGTCTGTTCTCTAGCATTATTCACATGCCCATATCAGGTAACTTAAGCATACTGCTTGGCACTCGTTTCTTCTGTTTTAACATTGGATTGACATCTGATGGCATACCTGGGCCACTTATTCTTTCATTGCTATCATTCTCCCACAAAGAACAAATCTTAATGTTTCCTGAACGGTGCTAAGATTTACAGATTTAAAAAGAAAAGAAAAAAATCTATCTAATATTACTGCTATGAAGTTGAATTCTCAACTTGTAACAGCACAACGGTCAATATTGATCATACTTTGATTCAATGGTACAAAATTCATCCATAAACAAAAATTTTCCGCTCACAATAGCTTCTTCTCTCTGGACGACCCTACACACTCCCTGATATCAAACAACCCCATTAATCCATACCAACCTCTCTCTTTTTCTCTGTTTATTTCAATTTTATATTGTATAATTAAAGAAAATGAAAGGAAAAATAAATTACTATTTAAAATATAAAACATTGCAAGATAAATGTTCAATTTTTGGTATTACATAGTAACTTCAGGCACGGGGTTATTGCTAGTAGATAATATGGTGCTTTGTTTGTTTACTTCTTTTTTTTGGGGGGGTCTGTTGTCTGTACTTGTCAGTTTACTGTAAGTGCTTAGAACAGGTTTAGGGAAAAACATCTGGAAAGGATATGTGACCTAGCCCTCTTCATTCTCACTGCCAAATTTGGGAATACTGCGTTTCAATTGTTACTGGTGTTTTTTAACATAATCATCTTGAATGGTCATGATTGCCTAGCTGGTTGTGCATGTTTTTCTATTGATCAATGGAGATGGTTCTGTTTTCAAGCACTTGTGTGAGTTTGTATTTATGCTTTTGCACCACTTGAAATTACTTTGTTTTTGTTGAATTCTTGTTGCAGGTTGAACTGCACTCCAGTAGGACAGATATTTCCGTAAATAGCTTTAGATGTGGAAAGACTTCAGAAATTTGACATCTTTGAAGGTATTCATTTCTGTTTGATTTGGTCATAATATATAGACATGGTAGATTGTGGATAGGTTTGCTTCTTGGAAAGGAAGCTGGAAACAAGTCAAAAACAGTTGTTCTTTTGAGAGGTATTCATGGATGTGGCCTCATCTTTTTTAACGTTTTGCATAGAAAAATTTCACTTTGTTAACAGTGGTGGTGTTGTTAGGTATGTTGGTGTTTTAGTCATCCTTTGATTTCAATGCTCAGTTTGGAATTTAGGAAACTTTTTCTATTTGACTTGGATGAGGATGGACTGCCATGTGGAACTGTATATCTTGCTATTCAGAGCTTTAAATAAATAAGAAATGAGCACTATTTGATCACGTCTTTGTTTATGACTTCGTTGCGCAAGCAAATATCAATTGTCAATCGCAGTATCTGTGCTGTTTCTGCCGATAGGGAAACCTGTGTGCGACACACCTATTCTATTGCGCTTTTATTGCTCGTGTAGTTTAATGTATACCTTATGGCATCACTTATCGTTGCTGTCAACCATGTACCATGCTAATTGGATTTGCCTTGCTCTTGGGATGGTTTGGCATTGAAGCTGCACATCCTGCCTTTTTAAATACATCAGATGCACATGTATGAGCAGGATAGCAGTTATAATATTTAGATCTACAACCAAGAATATAATCGAGTCCTTACTGATCTCTCATCTTGTTGATTAATTGTGTGCATATATATTGTGTGTGTGATATTTTATTTTGAGCTGTTTGTAATTTTTCTCTCAAAAGGAATTTGTATATCTATACTGTTTGTATTCTAATCATGCTTTTCCCCTTCAATGACATATTAGGGGTGGTAGATTCAGTATATGTACTAGGATTTTCAATGAGGGTAAATATTAGAATTAGTTCTTAAACTTTGCATCTTGTCCTAAAATGGTCATGAACTTTCAATTGCTTCAATATGGTCCCTCAACTATCAGTTTTTTGTCAACAAAGCCCTTCTGTCTACTTCACCCGCTAGACATGACGGGGATTGTTACATGACAAACAAATAGGCTTGCCTCCGCTTGTTCTAACGGATGAAATTGATGGAAAGACTTTACGGAATTTGTAGTTGAGGGACTAAATTGAGATAATAGAAAGTTCAGGACCATTATAAAATAGGAGGCAAAGTTTAAGATCTAATTGTGATATTTACCCTTTTAATGATGATGTTGAGAACGTTTTTCTTTGTGCTTCCCCATAGTATTTTGCTGGTTTTTGTTCATGATTGGTTTGGACGCAAAAAGAAAAGGGTCGCAACTGAAGAGATAAAATAGCATCTGAGGTATCATTTTTTGTTTTCCCTCCTCCCTTGCTTTTCTTAAGAAAAGAATTTTGGTAAATTAGATGGACACCTATGGCCAATGGTTTTACTAGGGTATTCTCAAAGCTCCTTTCTCCCGTCTTTCAAATTCTATTTTTGACAAATAGCAATGGAGCCCAACTTGAGAGTGTCGTCACACTGTCGAGAGTTTTGTCTTATAGACAGGAATCAAAAGAATGAAGTCTAATTTTTGTTATCTCGTTTGCTACTTATTCTGCCTATAATCATTCTGGCCACCCACTTGGAAAGGGTGCGGACATCGTAAATTCAAATCTCTCATGTTAAACACATTTTTATTTTACCCTGGTTAAAAGGTTTTTTTACTTTGGTTGAATGGTCGGTATGGCTAAAATGTTTACTTTACTTAAAAAATTAAATAGAAAAAAACAGATTTACTGTTATTAAAAAGTTAATATGTAAATTATAATATAAATCATTGAATGCAAACGATATGGGTTATTATCCTATTTTATAAAATTTGGATGCTTTGTTTTGTTTCGATAAGTTGGAAATTAGAAATGCCTTTTGGACTATGATGTTTAATCCATTCTAATATTTTGTTTTTTTAAACAAAATTTTAATATATTCAAATGTTATAATTGCACATTCCAACTCAGAGAGAGAGAGAGAGAGATAGCATTTTTCAACAGCAGTAGTTAAATACAATNATTAAATAGAAAAAAACAGATTTACTGTTATTAAAAAGTTAATATGTAAATTATAAATATAAATCATTGAATGCAAACGATATGGGTTATTATTCTATTTTATAAAATTTGGATGCTTTGTTTTGTTTCGATAAGTTGGAAATTAGAAATGCCTTTTGGACTATGATGTTTAATCCATTCTAATATTTTGTTTTTTTAAACAAAATTTTAATATATTCAAATGTTATAATTGCACATTCCAACTCAGAGAGAGAGAGAGAGAGATAGCATTTTTCAACAGCAGTAGTAAAATACAATCACCTCGGCTCGCATTTCATTTAGAATAAATTCCCAATTTCTTAAAAAAAAAAAAAGGAAAGGAAAAATAAATTGCTTTTAAAATATAAATATTGTATAATCAATTTCCAATTTTTGTTATTGCATAATGTTTCATGTACGGGCTATAGCTAGCTATTTAATATTGCAGTAAAAAGTTGAATTTTTAATTTATAAAAGTATAACAACGGTTTAAATTGAATTTTTTTTTATCTATTTTGATTCAATGGTATAAAATTAAGAGCAATGTTATTGAGACATAATTTACTGACATAATTTGCTGACCTAATTTATTATAACATTTGGATTGACGATAGGCCCCTATCCTACTCTATTGATCGATTAGTCGAAAGAATCGGATAGGTCAACTAAAGATTTTTTGGTATTTCGCAAAAGAATAGGGTCTGCAAAAGATAAGGGTAAGAATGCAAAATACCTACAAAATTTTTATATATGTATGTGTGTGTGTGTTAATCCCTAAAAATTAAAATTTAAAAATTTAGAAACTCTAATGTTTTATTGATGTTTGTTTTTTTTCTTATATATAATGTATTGATGTTTTATGATTTTATTGTTGTGTTTTATTATAATTATTTATATATTATCGAATTTGTTGTGTTTCTTTTTAGTATTATTAGTTTATCGTGTTAGTTAATTGGTGGAGGTTATTTAATTAAAATTTTAAAATAATTCAAAAATTAATCTATTTATATCTATACTACTAATAAAAGAACCTTAGCATGAAAAACTTTTGAATCTCTATTTTATCCTTATAAAAAATTGCAAAGACCACTCTATCTTTTAACAATTAAATATCTAAATTATCATCATATCCTTATATATTTAAATCTCAAAATTATCTCTAACATATCTTTTAATTATTTATTCTCTATATATAAATATCTGTTTCTATAAAAAAAATTGATTGACTATATTACCCTTCAAAAAATATGCATCATTGTATTTTCAATAAAGTGTTCAAAAAATCTTTAAAATTTTTATCAATTTAATATTACTCATCTCATATGCAAAAATAACATTATACTTACGTATGTTTATTTTCTTTTTCATCGAAAAATTTAAACATTTCATTTTCATGATTAAAAATTATCATATATATAGTTTTTTTAAATCAATTTATGTTACATCAATATAATTATTCAATCGCAATAAACTTTTTAAGTTGTATTAAGATTTTATGTGAAAATAGATATTGTATTAATTTTTTTTTATCTCAATTCACCTAACCAACTCCTAATTATTGTAAGATTCTAATATGATTAGTATATTAACAATTGCTTTTATTTTATTCAAGAAATTATAAGTGAAATCTTAATTAAATGAATTTAAAAAAAAATTAATTTCTTAAACATCATTGAAAAATCAATCTCAATTACAAAATTAAAAAAAAAAAAATTTAACTTTTTACTTTAAAAATATTTTCTTTTAGTTAAAACAGAGAATTTTGAGAACATAGAAAGTTTTTATAATCTTATACTAAAATGTGAGCAATGAAAAATTAATTTTTTTAAATTTGAGATGATATTTAATTCAGATATACATATACCTAATGTGTTTTATTAATTTTTGTGTATAAAAATTATTCACGTGCAACGCACGTGGTGCATTGGTAGTAACTAAAAAAATGTGTTCACCCAATTACTTACTTGACTTCCTATTCGATTGTTTTAGACAAAATTCGGATAAAAATAGTATACTTAATCGGATAGGATAAACCAAGAAAAAAAAAATTATGCAAAATATCATATAAGAAAATAGAATATCATAATTCATACACGTATGATAGGGTGAAAGACCCCTAAATCCACACTTCCCTCTCAATTATCTCCCCTTTCTCTCTCTTACTTATTTTCTTTCAGTTCATTTTAATTTTAAATTACGTAATTAAAATAAATAAATAAATAATTTATTTAATATATAATATTGCGGGATCAATGTTTAATTTTTTTTTTCCTATAGAGGGTCTTCATGCAAGTGAATGTTACTAGTCTATCTAAAATTACAACTACTAATTTAAATTACACATTTATAAAAATAAAACACCTTTGAAATTACTCTAATTTTCATTCAATTTCATTTAAATTAAATCAATACACTTCTTAATACAAAACAACCCTATTAATACACACCAAGCTCTCTCTTATTTTTTGAATATTCACTTTAATTTTAAATTATATAAATATNAATGTTTCATGTACGGGCTATAGCTAGCTATTTAATATTGCAGTAAAAAGTTGAATTCTCAATTTATAAAAGTATAACAACGGTTTAAATTGAATTTGTTTTTATCTATTTTGATTCAATGGTATAAAATTAAGAGCAATGTTATTGAGACCTAATTTACTGACATAATTTGCTGACCTAATTTATTATAACATTTGGATTGACGATAGGCCCTTATCCTACTCTATTGATCGATTAGTCGAAAGAATCGGATAGGTCAACTAAAGATTTTTTGGTATTCTGCAAAAGAATAGGGTCTGCAAAAGATAAGGGTAAGAATGCAAAATACTTACAAAATTTATATATATGTATGTGTGTGTGTGTTAATCCCTAAAAATTAAAATTTAAAAATTTAGAAACTCTAATGTTTTATTGATGTTTGTTTTTTTTCTTATATATAATGTATTGATGTTTTATGATTTTATTGTTGTGTTTTATTATAATTATTTATGTATTATCGAATTTGTTGTGTTTCTTTTTAGTATTATTAGTTTATCGTGTTAGTTAATTGGTGGAGGTTATTCAATTAAAATTTTAAAATAATTCAAAAATTAATCTATCTATATCTATACTACTAGTAAAAGAACCTTAACATAAAAAACTTTTGAATCTCTATTTTACCCTTATAAAGAATTGAAAAGACCACTCTATCTTTTAACAATTAAATATCTAAATTATCATCATATCCTTATATATTTAAATCTCAAAATTATCTCTAACATATATTTTAATTATTTATTCTCTATATATAAATATCTGTTTCTAT